TACCTGTGAGAAGATACTCATGTCTAATAGAGTATCTGATTTGTATGTTAGCAGCAAGTAAATTTATGACGTCCCAGCTCAATTTGATATGGGAGTAGACCAAATCTGTCCTACCTATATATTTAGGGTTTTGTATGTTATGAATTTAGACAGTGTATTATCCGTTCGCTCCTCTATTTTTCAATAAATGCAGATTCTATTTTTTGTTTTTCTTTTCAGTTCTTTCTATGGGATCCTTCATGTGCTTAATTCGTTCTTGTTTTGCCACATTAATTTTATTGTCTAATGAAGTTGTTAATATATGAGGAAAATAACAAGGATATTTAGCTACTCCCTTTGTGTCCTCACGTTCAAGAATGTATTTTTTGCTACATCTTTTAAGACACATTATTCCCATTTCGAGTACTCAAATAGAGTATCTGTCTGTCGTGGTTTAATATGTTGCATACCTTGGGTATGTTGTTATTGTTGCTGCCATTCTGCTGCTACTAATTGGTGTGAAGGTGAATAATAGGGCATTAGCTGGTTAGATCAGTTGAGCTTTGAGAGAGGGGTTAGGATAGATTTTGGACAGTAATGGACAGGATTCTGATTCTGTTCAGCAGAAGGCGAAAAAAAAATACTATCAGTCATCTGCTTTTCTACATGGTGCGAAACTTCAGATTTATAGTATCAACTATAAAAAACACAATTTAGAGTGAGATGTAGTTTCTTTTATTAGTAATAATTTTCGGGAAATTTGTTTTTTGTTAGTTACTAGCATGTGCAGTTTAATTAATCTTCTCCTTTGGTAGTTTAATTAATCTTCTCCTGCTTATCTTCTTAATTTTTGTCCAGTACTTCCCTTTAGAACATTCTTATTATCTTACTCGCAGAAAAAAGAAATCTGATTATCCTGTTTTGTTTCTATATTAAATAGGAATATGGATAATTTAGAGCGTGCTTGGATGTACGAGAGGTTGGATGGCCGAGGGGGTATTAATTCTAATTTTATAACTGGCGTGGATAGCTTTCTCCTGTTTGCACGTTCTCAGTGAAATCGCATGAGTGGTGAGAATGTTCGATGTCCATGTAAAAAATATCGCAACATTATATACATGGATGTTGAAACAGTTAGATTGCACCTTTTTAAGTTTGGATTTGTTGAAAACTATTATGTTTGGAAGTATCAAGGGAAAAAAGATGTGACTGGAGTGACGTCTTCTAGCAGTGATCTACATGGTGGTGTTCAACCTGCATTAGGATATGACAATCCATACCGATAAATGGTTTTAGATGCAGCTGGACCCAACTTTGGCCAGGGTTCTAGTTGGCAATCTTATAGTAATACTGAATTTGAGTCGTCTCATCATTTTGAGCCTTCAATGGAGGACGAGCCTAATCCTTCAATGGAGGAGGAGCCTAATCCTGAGTCTCAAAGGTTTTATGATTTGCTAAAGGCCGCTGATACAGAATTGTATCCTGGTTCTTCCCTCTCTCAGCTCGTAGTAGTTTCTAGGATGTTAAACATTAAAATGGAGAACACTTTATCACAGAGGGGATATGACCAAATGATGCAATTGCTGAAAGAGGCTTTACCTGAAGATAACATAATGCTTGAAAGTTATTATCAAACCAAGAAGCTAGTGCGTAGCTTGGGTTTGCCGGTTGAAAAGATTGATTGTCGTAATTCAGGATGTATGTTGTACTGGGGTGACGATGAAGACCTCACATCTTGCAAGTTTTGTGGCTACAAGAGGATTAAACGTCGCGTTGGTTCTCGTAAGAGGAAATTAGTCCCTTATAAAAGGATGTATTATTTTCCTTTGATTCCTAGATTGCGAAGATTATATGCATCTCATGCTACAGTCGGTGACATGAGATGGCATCATGAGCATATACAAGGGAGGGGATAATGCGTCATCCATCAGACTCTGAGGCTTGGAAGCACTTCAATGAAACTCATTCATTTTTTGGTGCTGAACCAAGGAATGTGAGGCTGGGGTTATCTACTGATGGTTTCCAACCATTTGGTCAATCGGGAAGAAAATACTCTTTGTGGCCAGTGATTGTCACTCCATACAACTTACCTCCTTGGATGAGTAAGAAAGAGGCGTACATGTTCTTAACTATCATTGTTCCAGGGCCAACCAATCCTAAACAAAAAATTGATATTTTTCTACAACCTCTAATAAAATAATTGGCCTTGTTATGGGAGGAAGGTGTGGAAGCATTTGACATCTCAAAAAAGTAAAACTTTCAATTAAGGGCGGCTTTTATGTGGACAATCAGTGACTTTCCAGCATATTCTAAGTTATCAGGATGGAGTACTGCTAGCAAGGTAGCATGTCATTATTGTATGGAGGAAGCACAATCTTTTAGATTACGTCATGGTGGGAAAACAACTTGGTTTGATAGTCATAGAATGTTCCTTGACCAACATCATCCAATTAGGAAAGATCGTAAAAACTTTCTTAAAGGTCAAACTGTCAAAAGGCTACCACCAGCACTTAGAACGGTAGACGAAATTTTGAACCAAATTAGTGAGTTAGGGCTATGGAAAGTAACAGAGGAAGATGCACAAGTAGTTAATTCGAGAATATGAAAATCTTGTGGATGGAAAAAGCAAAGCATCTTTTGGGATTTGCCTTATTGGAGTTCTAACATGATTCGACATAATCTTGACGTCACGCATATTGAAAAGAATGTCTTTGATAATGTATTTAACACAGTTCTTAATGTTAAAGACAAAATCAAAGACAATCCGAAAGCACGTCTGGATATGCTAACCTATTGCGATAGACCTCAGTTGGCAAAGGATGCTAGTGGAAAATATCCCAAAGCTGCATATACAATAGACAATGAAGCAAAAGATATCTTATTCGATCGGGTGAAAAGTTTGAAGCTTCCAGATGGGTATGTTTCAAATTTGGGTTGATGTCTAGAGACGAACAAGTCTAGGTTATTTGGCATGAAATGTCATGATTGTTACGTGTTCATGCAACGATTAATGCCTATTGCCTTTCGTGAACTACTTCCTAGTAATGTGTGGCAGACACTTACAGAATTGAGCTTATTTTTTAAAGATCTTACTTCGGCCACTCTACAAGTGGCTGACATGGAGAGATTAGCAATAGACATCCCACAGATCTTGTGTAAGTTGGAACGTATATTTCCACCGGGGTTCTTTAACTCAATGGAACATTTGCCCGTGCACCTGCCATATGAAGCAAGAATTGCTGGACCTGTACAATATCGATGGATGTATCCTTTTGAGAGGTAAATTTAAAACTTCTATGTCATAATAGTGACAAGTATGCTACACATGACTTTTTAATTTAACGGTCCATTCATTTATCTATTTAGGTACCTTGGAACTTTGAAAAAAATGATTGGGAATAAAGCTAGTGTTGAGGGATCTATTTGTGAAGCATACTTGATGACAGAGTCAACACAATTATTTTCTCATTATTTTGAACCTCATGTCATTACACGTAATCATAATGTGGACCGGAATGATGATGGTGGTGTTGTGGAAGATCATAAAGGAAATTTATCAATATTTACACATCCAGGTCGACTATCAGGAGAAGCAAAAAAAGAGGAGTTTATCCTTGGAAGAAATCAAGGCTGCCCAAACTTACATTCTACTAAATTGTAAAGAGGTTGAGCCATTTGTAAGGTAACATTTGAAAGTTATACTTGCTTAATATAACAAATATTCATATATCAGAAGCACTAATTTTAACTTATTTTGTTGCAATGAAGTATGTACGTGGAACGTTTACAAGAAAAATATCCGAATCTATCTCAGGATCAAATAGATGAGAATCTCGAAATATATTTCTCTATATGGTTCAAGCAATATGTAAGCCTCCAACAATAATTTACTTTTATACAATGATGTACATAAATTGTTTTGTTAAATTTAACTAAGTCTCATAATTTTTTAAATAGGTCCGAAGCAACCATATTGAGAATGCATTCTTGCGTAGCCTTGCTCATGGACCATTGACAAGCGCGATATGTCATTCAGTGTATTTTGTTAATGGATATAAATTTCACACAAAAAGTCATGTTAGCGCAAGATCAACAATGAACAGTGAAGTTTGTATATCGGATCCAAATGTTGGTGACTACTATGGTCGGATACAAGAGATTATGAAAGTAGAATACCGTGAAGAACCTTTAAAGAAAACTGTATTATTCAAGTGTGAATGGTTTGACCCAACGATGAATGTTGGTGTTAAAAAGCATAATCAATACAAATTGGTGGATGTTAACCATCGTCGTCGATATAAAAAATATGAACCTTTTATTCTTGCGATGCAAGCAACTCAAGTGTGTTATGTTCCTTATCCTAGCAAGAGAAAGGACAAGAAGGATCGGTTAGCTGTATTGAAAGTTAAACCTCGGCATGTTGTTGAATTACCAGATGAGGAAGTGATGGCAATTTCAGATGCGAATCTCCTGTTCCAAGTTGAAGAAGTTGAAGATCATCTGATAGATATGAACATTGTCGTTGATGAAAATATACTCTTACATGATCCAAATGGGGATTTAATTGAAATGGCTGAGCACGTTGATGATGAATTATTGCTAGATCATCATGAAACTGAAGAAGAAGAAGAAGAAGAGTATGAAACGGAAGATACAGAGGATGATGAGGAAGATTTCGTAGAAGAAATAGATAGTTACTAGTGTGTTAATTAAAAATATGTTGATGTATCTTACTGTGTTTTGTTTGTTGTAATCTAAGCTGAATGCTATGTGTTTTGTTTGTTGTAATCTAAGTTGAATGCTATCTGCAAGAATATATCTATATTTATTGCTTTTCTTTGATGTCTAACTTCTCACTCATTTCCCTAAGTTTATCACTTACTATAAAATTAAAAAATCTAGCAGTAATTTTGGCCCAATTCTTGACTTATACCAATGTTTTCTATTTGCAGGGACTTAATTCTTGACTTATACCAATCTATGACTCTAATTTGCTTACATGTAATTTTTTTTGTAGATATGACTCGAGGGAGAGGCCGAGATAGCATAGCTCGTGGAGGCAAGTCCTTAGTTAGGGGTAGGGGTAATTCTGCTATTCGTGCAAATATGCCTTCTATTCCCATTCCCATAATTAGTCCTCAACAAGGTGGTACGAGTTCTTTAGCTGGGCAGAATCACATAAATCAAGTAAAAACTTTAGCTCCTAGCAGTACGACACCCGTTCAAACATCAGGTCATGGTAGTACCCCAACTATCCATTCTGAATCATCTCCTAATACACCTGATCAGAGCAACCCAATAGGTGAGGGCATATCTACTCAAAGCAACACAATTGGCGAAGGTGATTGCACCAGTAGTCGCGGGAAGCGAACACTTGTTACTCTTGCTCCTACAGGGTTAGTCCATATTTTTACTATTACTTTTTATATAGAAATTTTGATTTATGATACCCCTTCAACTATTGTCTTCAAATTTTTTCAGGTTAGAACCTAGTGGATTATGCTCGACAAATATATTTAAATCTTTCAAGCATGAACTTGATCCCAATGGAATCAATTGGAAAAGTGTCTCTGACGAGATAAAAAACTTTTATTTGGGAGAATTCAAGGTATAACTTCTCATTATATAATGAATTTAGGAAGTGTATTAACTGTTATAAATAAGATATTAATGTTATTACTTTATAAAATTATTCCAGAAGAAATTCTATGGGGACTCTTCCATTGATAGTGCAGTGAGGAGCCAATAGGAGAATAAGGCATCAATAAGGTACAAAGATTTCATTTCCAAAATGAAAACTAAAAAAATTAGGCCAAGAGGTGTTCCAGTAACACTACTAGAAATCCGGTAAAAAGCGACCACAAAAAGCGACCAAAGTTGGTCGCTTATAGGCCCAAAAGCGACCAAAAAGCGACCAAACATGCCTGGTCGCTATATTGCTGGTCCCTTCACTTTAGGGACCAAAGTTGGTCGCTAATTAGCGACCAACTTTGGTCTCTAAGGTAAAATGACCAAATATTCCGGGTATTGACTATAGCGATCATCTTTGGTCGCTTTATTATTTTAATAATATAAATTTGGCGACCAAAGTTGGTCTCTAAATGTAAAATATATTATTTATTGATTTATTATTATTCATAAAACAGCGACCAACTTTGGTCTCTAATCCAAATATTATATTTTAAAATCTGGAAAATGGAGACCAAGGTTGGTCGCTAATGTCAAGAATTTAATTTTTTTTTAATGGAATAGCGACCAAGGTTGGTCTCTTTTTAAGAAATCTGGGTAAAAAGAGACCAACTTTGGTCGCTATTGCCCGTCAAATTATTTTTTTAAATGACAAGCGACCAAAAAGAGACCAAAGTTGGTCGCTTTTCTGGGTATTATTTTGGGAGAAACTACCTGTTTTGGCAGCTACACCACCTGCCAGCATACCAAATCCCTATTACAAGCAACAACAACAACAATACCAACAACAACACAACAACAACAACAACAACAACAACATTAAAACCAACGAAGTATAAAGTTCAATAGAACTAACACATTAAGCTAACAAAACTAAGTTAACGCTTATTACAAGCCCATTCGAAAGCTAGTTCTATTGTCTAGTTCAAAGTATATAAAGTACTCAAGGAGTGTTCTTTCAACATCCTCGTCCGAATGTTGGATTGCCTCGCCCGACTCATTAGGTGGCTGACTGCGTATGACTTCCTCCACATCAGGTGTGAAGCGAACCTATAAGAAAAATTATATTAAATTAGTATTTCAAAATTTATATAAAAGTAAATAAAAATACTTAATGAAAAGTAAAAAACGTACATGTATAGTAGAGGCTCGACCCTCGACCCACCTTTCTGAATCAGTCTCTTTCTTCTTCTTTACAATACGAGTTTTATTGAATAGCTCATGATCTTGCTTCATTGGCATCATAAAGCTGTCTGGTGGCTTTGGTGATTATCCTCGGGATGAACTTGGATACAGAGAATAACTTGGATACAGTAGCTGACAGGGTGTGTCTTTTGATCAATTGTTGTTCTCGTTAGCGACAATGATGATGAGAATGCAATGACATGTGCTTCAAATAGTGATGGTGTAGGCAGGAATTTTAACATTTTCTAAGTATATAAAAGAAAGATTATAGAGGAATTCTCTACTTCATTTTCCAAGAAGAAAAGAAATTTAATTGATAGTGACAAGGTTGATGGTGATGGAATGTTTTCCGTCGGTCATGGCAGTTCCCATAAAACGGGTATCATAAGACTCTATGATGAC